TGCCCCCTGCCTGGTTAACTCCTACTCATGTCTTTCTTCATCTGCCTCATTCCTCACTACCTCACCATCTTCTTAGTGTCTGCTGGCAAAAGCTCACCACCAGCACCACCTACACCACCAGCCAAAATGACCCCTTACCCAAGCTTGCCTGTACAGCAGACTGGTTAAGGGCACAGGCTCTGGCATGAGATTGCCTGGATTCAAATCCTGGCTCGGCCATTTAATGGCTGTGTGACATCAGGAAAGCTGCTTAACCTCACTAAACTTCCATTCATATGTAAAATGGGGCTGATGCTTTTAAAATAATCAAAAATAAATCTGTTATCTTCTTTGGTTAGGCCAAGTTCCCATTCTATATAGTATTTCTCCTTTACAGTCGTTATGAAAATTGTGACTAATAGTTGGTTTAAAATTTGTTTCATTTGTCAAAATTAGGGTTCCACCAGGGCAGAGACAGGGTGAGTCTTACTACCATATTCACATAGTATAACAAAGTGGTTGAAGAAAGAGGCTTGGGAACAAGAAGGCCAGGCCAGGTTCTGGCAACCCCATCACCAAAGTGACTCTGATCAAGGTACTTAACCTCCTTGGTCTTATGTTGTCTCCTCTCTAACAATGACAGTATCTTCATCAAAGGGCTATTTGGATTAAGTGCTTAGATAGTACCTGGCGCATAGTAAGTGCTCAGTAATCATTAGCTGTTATTCTAGTAGACACACAAATACTTGAATGAAACTTTCAGTTTTTGTCAGATACGTAAGGAGCTTGGACATCATTACTCTCTTCCTTACAATAAGGAAAAAAAAAGCTGAACAAACTAAAACCAACATCTCTTCCTAGATCCATCGGAGAACTGAGATCACAGGGCAAACTGCTGGCCTGAACATTGAAGAGACAGACAGGTGGACAGGAGAATCACAACATACCAGAGCAGAAGCCCAGGTGCAGAAACCTCTAGGAAACCAGTGCCAAAATAGGAAAGCTTAAACTGATTGATAAGTTGCTGATAGCTCAATGTGGACAAGCTTGAGTTAACAAGTCGGGAGACCAGTCTTAAGGGAGCCACCACACTTCCTGACTTTTACCTCCAGGAGCTTAGTGAAGATCAGAGAAAAATCTGCCTGCCCACCCCCTGTTCTAGCCAGGGGAGAGGAAAATATCCAATTCCACCCCCTCTCTAGACACCTGTTTCCCCTTAAGGGTGACTAGAGGGAGGGAGGAAAGCTGAGAGGCACTTGTAAAGGTCACAGGCCAGGGGCACAGGCTCACTGAGAGATCAAGACCTGGTCAGAGGATGTTAGGATGCTTCTCTGTCTTCTCTCACTTCACCACCACATCAAAAAGTTTCCTGTTTAATAGCGAAGAATTACAGCTGAAAGAATAGGCAGGCTTCAGACCCTATTTAAGGAGGAGTCTCTAGGGAAACACAAAAACAATAGGGGAGACAAAAACAAGGATACCAGAGAGAATTTTAACCTTGGAAACCTCAACTGCTGGAAAAAAATAAACACAGCCTAACTCCTAAGCAGATAAATACAAAACTTCACATTAAAAGCCTGTCTACTTCAGTTCCTTTTATTTCCTACATTGTATCTAGCTTTCAACAACAACAAAAAAATTACGAGGCATGATAAAAAGTGAAAAAACAGTCTGAAGAGATGGAACAGCATCAGTCAGACTCACATATGGCAGAGATGTTTGAATTATCAGGCTGAGAATTTAAAATAACTATGATCAATATTCTAAGAGCTCTAATGGAAACAGTGAACAAGATGCAAGAACAGATGGGCAACGTAAGCAAAGAGATGGAAACTCTAAAAAAAAATCAAAAGAAAATGCCAGAAATAATAAACACTGTAATAGAAATTAAAAAAAAATACCTATGATGGGCTCATCTTTAGACCAGACATGGCCAAGAAAAGAATCAGCAAGTTATAAAAAAATGCCAATAGAAGTTTCCCAAACTAAAAAGCAAAGAGAAAAAAGAATGAAAAAAAGAGAAACAGAGTACCCAAGAATCGTGGGAGAATTACAAAAGGTGTAACATATGCATAATGGAAATATCAGAAGGAGAAAAATGAAAGAAATAGAAAAAATATTTGAAGCAATAATATTTGAGAATTTTCAAAAACTAATGACAGACTCTAAATAACAGATCCAGTAAGCTCAGAACACCAAGCATAGTAAATACTGAAAAATCCACATCTAAGTATGTCATATTCAAACTCCAGAAAATCAAAGACAGAGGAAAACAATTTTTCCCTTTTTTTAATTAAGTTTATTGGGATAACATTGTTTAATACAATTATATAATTTTCAGGTATACATTATCGTTTGATATCTATATATTTTATTGTGTTTACTACCCAAAGTCCAGTTTCCTTCAGCTACCATATAATTGATCCCCTTTACCCACTTCACCCTCATTCTACTCCCTATGTTTGACCCTCCTTTAACTGTCTACCTCCCCCCTCTTCCTCTACCCTCTATCCTCTGGTAACCACCAGTCTATAGTCCATGTTCATGAGTCTCTGTTTGTCCTGTTCATTTGTTGCTTTTAGGTTTATATCCCACATATTTGTGATATCATGTGATTTTCAACTTTTTCAGTCTGGCTTATTTCACTTAGCGTGATTATCTCGAGGTCCATCCATGTTGTCGCAAATAGCAGTGTTTCATCTCTTCTTACGGCTGAGCAATATTCCATTGTATATATGTACCACAGCTTCTTTAGTCAATCATCTATCGTAGGACACTTGGTTGCTTTCATGTCCTAGCCACAGTGAATAATGCTGCTATGAACATCGGCATACAATATCTTTTTGGATATGGGTTTTCAAGTCTTTGGGGTAAATACCCAGTAGAAGGATTGCTGGATCATATGCTAGATAAATTCTTAATTTTTTGAGGAACCTCCATACTGTTTTTCATAGTGGCTGTACCAATTTGCAGTCCCACCAGCAGTGTATGACGATTCCTTTGAGAAAAACAATTTTGAAAGCCGGGGTGGGGGTGGGGGGAACCTTACCCAGAAGGCAGTAAGGATAAATATTACATTCAACTTCCCTTCAAAAACCATACAAGCAAGAAGAGAGTGGAGTGAAATATTCAAAATGTTGAAAGAGAAAAACGAGAATTCTGTATCCTTCAAAAGTGTAATAGAAATATTTTCTCAGACAAACAAAAATCAAAGGAAATTGTCACCAGTAGATCTGCCTTGCAAGAAATGTTAAAAGTTTTTCAGGAAGAGGGAAAAGGATATAGATCAGAAACTTAGATTTCTATAAAGTAAGGAAGAATGCTAGAGAAGGAAAAAATAAAGATAAAATAAATACTTGAGTGAAACAAGGCACAATTCCCTCAGGAAATCCTCCTGCCCCAGCCCACCCCAGAGCTCACCAGCAACTCTCCTACAGTTTCGGGAGCACCCAGCATGGCCTGCACCACGCAGTGCCGTGGTGGCCTGTTGTCTGTCTCACCACAAAGCTGCAGTGTGTACCTCCAGAGGCAAGCCATGAGGTGCTCAGTGTCTGATGAAATGGATGGATGGATGGATGGATGGATGGATGGATGGATGGATGGATGGATGGATGGATGGATAGATAGATGGCAAAGCACTCATACCAGAGGCCAAGGTGGTGGTTAAATAGTATGTCTCTTTATTAGCAGTTCATGGAGAAGATTCCAGTGTTGCTATTGTCAAAAGGGAGGGCTCACCCACTGGATTCTCTGTGCCCAGGTGTGGTCACTCTTCTTCTTACATAGGCTGATCCTTGACCGTAAAGGACATCGACCTGGGGAGCAGAGAAATGCCAGTGGGGCACATCATAGAAACGTGGGTTTATGATAAAGGGCAGGGCTGACGATGGCTCCTCCTTCATAGAGCTGGATGCAGAGAGCAAGAAAGCCCACAGAAGGAGAGGGTAGTGGTGTGTCAGAGCTGAGACTAAAGCCTGGCTCTGCTACTTCAAACTTCAGAAGCCCCTGCAAGTACCTCAGATTCTTCACCTCAGTCTTAGCAAATCACTGACATGGTGTGTGGCACATGCTGCATGCCACTGTCCTCAAGGCAGTGTTCCAAAGTCTGAGGAAATTGAGGCGCAGAGGCATAAAGCAACTCTCCGGTGGTGGAGCTGGAGTGGACCCCAGCATCTGCTCCCAAGGGTCTGCTTAAGCCCTGCCATCTGCATGGTGGGCATGAACAACACTCACCTCTTAAGGTTGTCTTGGATCAGATGAGAAATCTTGACAAAATAAGAGTATTGTGCAGAAACTGGCATAAAGTAAGTGCTCAATAAATGCCACATTACATCTCTGTGGCCCTCCTTTAAGCTTGTTGGGGTCAACTAAGTCTAAATCACTCTTTCAGTTCCCCATGACAGTTAGCACGGTCTTTCATGCCTGGCAGGGGTGCAATAATCATTTTCTGAGTAGACGCCTCCTGTAATTGCCACACTTGTCACTGGCCTTCCACCTTCCAGAGACACGTAAACAGCCACTATTATTATCACTGCTACTGAATGCAGGCCAACAGGACATGTGACCCAAAGTCACAGTTCCACTGGTGGTAGGGACAAAAATCTGTGTGCCCTCGCTCCTGCCTACAGTGCCTGTGATCTTGTGCTTCAAATGGGGTCAGCAGACCAGCAGCAGTATTACCTGGGGGCATCAGAAATGCAGAATTTCGGGTTCCACCATGGCCTAACACCAGAACCCCAGGTGATCCCAGACTGTGCACCATCAAGAAGCACTGGTCTGACTCCACCGTTCAAAGAGTCAGAGAGGCCAATCTGAACTGGACTTCAGTTCTTTCCAGAAATTTAAGGAAAGCGCTGCAGGAGCCTAAGGCAGCTGCCTTCTTCCCTACCTGAACTGGCCCCAAGTACAGGCCCTCACCGGTATGGAAAGGCCAAACCTGATTATCAAGCCGCTGCCTCGGTGCACCATCTCCCTGCACAGGGTAGCCATCTTTCTCCTGATGGTTCTCTCACCTGTTGCTCTCAACAGTCTGAGTAGGATTTTCTGTCATGAAGCTCCTGAGATGATCCATTTGTTAAATGGGATAAGCTACAGGGGACAGAGAAGATGGGCAAGGCAGAGGAGAGATTGCAAGATGACAGAGCCCACCCACAGCACACACTCAGACCACCGCCCAGGCCGGGGTGGGGCAGCCAGCCATGCCTGGGCCATTGCCCCATCTGGGCCTAGCAGCAGTGTCTTATACAGAGGCACTCAGCCCAGAGGGGCAACAGACTTGGTCAGGCCTGCGTTTGAGCTGGAGCTAAAGGAGGCCTTCAGAAGTAAGGCCAACAGCCCCTCCCACCCCGCCCCACCTACTCCCAGTTAGGAATATAAATCAACTTGTCCCAATGGCTTACCTTCGTCTCACCTGCTCTATCCGATCACGCATAACATCACTTCTCACCTCGCTTGGCACTTGGAAGACACGGGTATGGCTGCAGAACACCATTCAAACCCTGAGATTCCCAAGTGTCTTTTTCACTGCTAGGGTTGCAATCATATGAACGATACTTCTGACCCCATCGCCATGAACTTATGAGCTGGTCCTTGACTTTCTAGTATCAGGAACTCAAAACGTTCTTTTTACTAACGAAGTACCCCTGAGCCACCCAATAATCCTGGGCAGCTGCAAATAGTCCTAAGAAGAGTTGAGGAAACAGAGGGCTTAAGTGCTTTTACTAGAGTTACATAGCAGACAAGTGGTCTCGGAAGACATGCAATTCATCCCTTCTAAATTCTTCTCCAACTTTATTATCAGCTCTTTTTGATCAGCATTGTGACACATTTGCTATGGTTTAGAGATACTTCTAGAAAATTCTATCACAAAAAAGCTCCAGGTGCCTCATTGCTACCGTTTTTACTTAACCCTGCTTGATTTGCCTTCCTCTCTATGGTCTCCTTCCGGTCCTTCCCAATTCCATATCCCCCTCTTCCCCTCATAAACCCTCTACTCTAATGAAATCAGTCTGTCCACTGAATCCCCTATTTCTATGTCTAGTGAAACTGCTTTCTCTGAATAACGCCTTGTTCTCCATGCTTCCTGGCTTTTAATGTGAAGACAGCATTGATATTGCCTCTGAGGACTCACAGCCAAGGGAGAAAGAAATGCTCCTGAATGTTGCTCACACCAGGAGGAGCTGAGTGGGTGCCCACAGAGAAATAAGAAAGATGAAGAGACTCCAGAAGAGAGAGAGATAACCACAGAGGAGGAAAGGAGGAGGCCTCAGAGAAGAAGAGGCCACAGCACTGGGCTCTGGAGGCCAGATGGGATTGGCCAAGTTGCCAATACTCGCAGTTGCGAGAGGCCCACCCCAGCCCCTGTTTAACTGGGCCCTGCCCAGTTCACGGGTCAGTCCAAGCAAATGTCCTACTAGAAACATTTTCTGAGTACCCAGCAGCAATGCCTAGGACTAGTATGACCTGAGTCCCCTACGCTGTGCTTTTGCAGATATTCTTCAGGCCTTCTCGAACATCAACTTTAACATTCACACAACTTATCTACCTAGTTAATTTCCATTACTTTGAGATTGGGTACTCTGATTATTCTTTTCTCTCTCTTGCAGAGGGCCTAGCAAACATTAGGTGGTCAGAACACAGCTACAAAAGTAAGTATCTACTGATGCTTCATAAAAGGATATGTATTTCCTAACTACATGTTTACCGATGTTAATAGGATGCCAAAACCAGTAGGTTGTAGAGAAAACCAGGCAGAGTTTATTGATTTAAAATCTCCATAGAAATCCAGAATAGAAAAATTATATATAGATATGTGATTCCTGTAGCTTGTCTTTAAAGCTTTAACCTAGCTATGCCACACTGTACCTGAGGTTTAAAAAATAGCAGAAAATGATGTTCATATTATCCAAACCAAGGAACTGCAACATTTAGAGTTCCATAGCACAGCTAGGCATGGACAAGCATCCCATGTGTAGAGCTGTGGCTGGATTACAATCACCAACATTTATGATTTTAGGGACCTTGAAAGGTCTCCTATCCAAAAAATATTTCCTGAGAGATATCAAATTCTCTTCCTGTTATATAATAATTACTGAGCATGTGAATCCCCATTTAAAATGCTAATGCCACTGGAAGGGGTAAACACCTGAAAATTGGATATTTCGAAGCAAAAAATATATATTTCTTGAGAAATATCCTCTTTGATAGAAGAAAGCAAAGCTGAGGATGGAGGCATGGGAAGGAAGAAGAACATGCAGAGATGAGGGAAGGCTCCTACACAGTTTGATCTCACAGTTCTACTGGGGAAAAAGAGACCCAAGTCCCAGAAAGGAAACAGAGAAGCTTATGCCGAAAGGAGTGAGCCGGACTCCAGGCTCAACTCTCTCCACCTTGAGTTAGCAACTTCAGAGCCAAGATGCGGCAAGTCTTTGCTCCAGCAGGCTCAGTGGGAAGCTAGTTAAGTTGCCAGAATGGGGAGCACAGACTTCTAGCCTCAGGCACTGAGAAACCTCCTCTCACCTCAGTTGTAGATGAGGGCTTTGGCTTTTGCATTTTAAGAGCCTATTTTCTTTGAGCTCTTTAAAGTGCAGCCACTTCTGAACAAATCTACTACAAAAATAACAGAAGTCTGAAATTTATTCAGAAGCATTTAAGAAATGGTGAGCAAACTCAGTTTTCCAACCTCTCAAGTCATTTTAAAACTTAGGAATGAGCTGGGCTTTCAAGATAGCAAAAATATTCCCTGAAGACCCCCAAGTAAAGCAGAATGTTTTTCTCATTCAAAGGAATCAGCATCTCTAGAGAAGAATTGCTGTGGGTTTGTGTTGGCCAGGGAGCCTATGGAGGGGATCTTGTGGCCTCTCTGCTTCTCCCTCCCCACAACTTGGCTCAGGGCAAATGAGTTGTGCTTTACCTCCATCTTATGAACTGGATTCTTGTTCTTTCCTCCAAGACATCTTGACTCTGGTTTGCTAACAAAGCAGACTTTGAGGGCTGGTGCTTCACCTAGGAAATCCAGGTAGGATCCATGTGATTACTGTCCAGCAAGGACTCCATGGCTAGGGTGGAGCCCAGCCTGGATGAGTGCCAATCACTTGCCCAAGATCTTTTGCAGTAGGACCTCTCTCCTTTGCCCTTCCCTCTCCCCCTACTCCTCCAGGATAATTGTCTCAAACTCTCAATTACCACATCTCTGGACACATGTACATCTTGGCCATGGATAGGAGGAAGGTTAGCAGATGTCTTCTCCTTTATATCCTGAGAAGCCTCTTCTTCAGTCTGAAAGGTGAGTGATTTCCCTCTGAAAATGTTACTCAACATCTGATCCCCAGTTCTTCCTTTATCCTTTTCCCTTGTCTTCTTCTCCATCGCAACACGCATGCCACATGTATACACACACACACACACACACACACACACACACACACACACCCCGTATCTCACAGTCTCTGCAATAAGCTCTCCTACTGCTACATTTCCATGGATTCCAGGGAACTCACTAAGTTCTTGGCCTTATCCCAAGGTATTCTTGAGACATGCTGTAGCTGGAGTGACACATCTGAAACCCTGCATCCAGTATGCTTGAGAAGCAGGACAGGGCTAGTGGTGATGCCAACGCTTTTGGTGAGCCCCAGCGTCCTCTAGAGTCTAGGACATCTGGTGAATTAGACACAGCTCTAGGCAGAGTGTTTGGCAATGAACTTGAGTTTTCTATTCTACGGAAAGGGAAGTCTAAATCCCTGCACCAACTAAGTTCAGCTGTCTAGAATTTTAGGTACCCTGAATCATAAAGGAATCTTACTCACTTTTTTCAGCCAATGCTCTACTACAGACAAAGGTTCAGTTTCCATAACTTCAACGTCCTGCAATAAATGAGTAAATTGATACCCTCAAAATACCTAGAGACCCAGCCCCCCTCCTCCATTCTTATCCAAAGTTATATATTGTAAGATCTCCTTTCTAGAAGTACAGCAGGGAGCTCAGAAGGGAGAAGATACATGAGAAACAATTCCACATGGCTGCTACCAACTTCACTTACCGAACTGGTTTTTGGTGGAAAGGGGAACCCGACACCTTCCCGGGAAAGAATGTACACAATCCACGTTGTAATTATCATCTTTGGACTTATGCCAGGCCCTCTTCTTGTCTCCCTTCTTCCATTGAAGCCACCTGAGAACCCCTCTGGAACAAGGAGGCCATTGAAGGTACCCACCTGATTGGCTGACCAATGATGATGTAACAATGACCTCCTTTAATCTCCAGGGTGAGAGTGGAGATGGAAAAGAGAGGTCAGGAAGTAGTCTACTTTAGCAATGTCATAGCTCAGAAATGGAGAGATGAGGGCGGGGGTGGGGGCGGGGGCGGTGTAGCCAATATGAGCCTGAGGAAGACAACACGGAAAAGTTACTCAAATCAAAGATAGAGATTGGGGGCAGGCAATGGGGGGAAAAGAAACGTATGGCTGATCACCTTGTTTTGACAGTGTTGAAGCAGAAAGAGATTTTATAAATCAAAAGAATAAATTTGTAACAAAATGACCTAGACTGTCTAGACACTTATTCAAACAATGCTACAGGCATTTCTTATCCTTATTTCTATACACAGAGGGAGAAAGAGCTTATCCACCACCCTCACCCCCCAAAAATCAAAGTTAGGGGAGCAAAATTTCAATAAGATGAGGGAGGGCTCCTTCACAGTTTGATCTCACAGTTCTACTGGGGAAAAAGAGACCTAAGTCCCAGAAAGGAAACAGAGAAGCTTATGCCGAAAGGAGTGAGCTGGATTCCAGGCCCAACTCTCTCCATCTTGAGTTAGCAACTTCAGAGCCAAGATGGATTATTTTTGAGTTAGCAACTTCAGACCCAAGATGGATTATTATTGAGTTAGCAACTTTAGAGCCAAGATGGATTATTTTTCTTGTCTACTTTGTTTTCAGAATTGATTCAAATAATAAAAGATAATCCAAACAATAAGAGATATAGAGTTAAAAGTGAAAATACCATTTCTTTTAAGATATTTCCATATTACTTCAAGCCACCCATGGTGGTCTTCCTAGGTAAAAGGATAGTAAAGGAGAAATGAAAAAGGAATTGTGTAGTGACTTCAGAGTTAGGGGCAAAAATTGATAGGAGTTCAGATAGCTGCTATTTCTATCTAGAATCTTCACAAGAAATTTGAAGGACGCTCAGAATATACTAAAGGACCCTACGCATATGTTTAATTGTTCTTGAAAGTAGTTGTAGCCTAACCCTGAGGCTATTAAGGTCTCAGAAACCCGGGTTGTAATCCTAGCTCTACCACTAACTTGTTATGTGACCTTAACCCAACAATTGGGTTAAAACTAATGATCAGAAGGCAGAAAATATGACATAGATGACAGAGCCTTTGTTCATCCCTCTGGCAACCAAATCAAAGTTGTGACAGAAACACAGAGCAAACAGCAAGCCAAGTCACCTGGGGTTTGGATGAACAGAAGCCCTACAACTAGAGAAAGAAAGAAGAAGTCACCTTGCAAAGGTAGAAAGTAGGAGGCGGGTAAGACACAAGGTTGCCTGGTCCCAAGGGGCTGAGTGGGACAGAGGCTACTGCAGCAGCAGCCAGCAGCTGCAGATGCCTCTTAAACGGGCCATGTTTGTGAGCTGACTTTCATGGTGACAGACCTGCTCACTCTGAGCACTAGCTACGGGTTGGTTTCACAGGGGCACCAGGGACTTATAGGTAACATTGAGTTGTCAGAGTGAGGGCTAGAGGTGAGGCTCCGTCCTGGTCAGAAGTACCAGCAGTATCCATTGTTCTGTTGAGCCCTCCCCACTCCCAGTGTGCAAACTCAGTGCCGCCATGCTGAGACATCGTGGAACTGGATAACAGAGGTCGCTGTACCCAGAGGATTCCCTGAAACTCCACCTCCCCCAACTTGCACCCTGAACCAAACCACATCTAGGTGTGTCCTAGGCGAGTCCAGTGCTCCTCACTGAGCAGTGCCAAGACTCACTGGTGGCAGCTGGCCTCGACTTTTGGCATGTCTTCTTGCAGCAACAATAAGCACAGCATCTATGAATTACTTGCTAAATCTTAACAGGTGGCCCCAGAGGGGCACAGGCTGGGGCTAAACCCAACCTGTAGTTGAACCACTTTCAGGACTGTGCCACTGGACACCTACTACACACAGCCCCGCTAATAAGACCAGGAGACTTAAGAGCTTTACTTAGTACATAGAAACAGACATGGAAAGGCAGCCAAAATGGAAAGACAAAGAAGCAGAAACCATATGAGAGAAGAGAACAGAGTTCCAGGAAAAATAGAATCAAGCAATCTAATTGACGCACAGTTCAAAACACTAGTTATAAAAATGCTCAATAAACTTAGGAGCAGCGTAGATGAATCCAGTGAGAATTTTAACAAAGAAATTAAAAAACATAAAAATGGAAATAAAAATTATGAAAGGGAACCAGTCAGAAATGAAGAACACATTATCTGAGATGAAGAGTATATTAGAGGGAATCACCAAAGTGGAGGGAAAAGAGGATCAAACCACCAATACAAAGGATGAGGAAGCCAAGGACATTCAATCAGAATGTGGGGGGGAGTCAAGACTATAATAATAATTTAAGAAGCCTATGAACACAATTAAATGTAAAAATATCCATGTCTTAGGGGTATCTTAAGGAAAACAAGATGTTGAAGAGTTATTTGAAGAAATAATGATGGAAAACTTCCCTCACCTGGTGAAAGAAATAGACTTAAAACTCCAGGAAGCTCAGAGAGTCCCAAAAACCAGGAACACAAAGAGGCCACAACAAGGCACATCATAATTAAAATGTCAAAAGTTAAATACAAAGAGGGAATCTTAAAAGCAGCAAGAGAAAAGCAGTTAGTTACCTAGAAGGGAGCACTCATAAGACTGGCAGTTGATTTCTCAAAAGAACCATGCAAGACAGAAGGGCTTGGCACAAAATATTCAACGTGATGAAAAGCCAGGATCTACAATCGAGAATATTTTATCCAGCACAGTTATCATTTAGAGTTGAAGGACAGATAAAGAGCTTCTCAGACAAAAATAAGCTAAAGGAATTTATCAACACCAAGCCAGTATTACAGAAATTATTGGAAGGACTTCTTTAAGAAGAAAAAAAAAGTATCAAAAACATGAATAAAGAATGGTAATAACTACATTCCTATCAAAAGGTACCTCAAATGGAAAAGAATTAAATGCCCCAAACAAAAGATAGGGTAGCCGAATGGATAAGAAAACAAGACCCCTACATATGCTGCCTACAAGCGACTCACTTCAGATTAAAAGACACACAAAGATTTAAAGGAAGGGGATGAAAAAAGATATTGCTTTGACCAACCTAGAAGTTATTATGTTGAATGAAATAAGTCAGGTAGAGAAGACAAATATTGCATGATATCATGTATATGTGGAATCTAAACAACAAAAACAAAGTGGAACTGCCCACTCTCCAATTATTCTTCAGTAAATAAAAATACAAACTCTGTCAAAACAACAACAACAATAACAACAAAAATGGAAATAAACTCATAGATACAGAGAATATTTTGAAGACTACTAGATGGGAAGGAGTGGGGGATAGCAAAAAAGGGCAAAGAGATTAAGAAGTACAAGTGGATAGTTACAAAATAGACATGGGGGTATAAAGTGCAGCATAAGGAAAATAGTTAATAATGTAATAAATATGTAAGGGGGAAGAGGGGTAATAGATTTAGTGGGTTGATCACTTTGTGAGTTATATAGATCTCTAATCACTATGCTGTACAACTAAAACTAACACATTGTTGTATGCCAAGTATAATTGAAGAAAACTCATTGACTTGTACAATGTAAACACAACTAATTGTCTTATATTTCAATAAAGCCAGAAAAAAAAAACATACTGAGATATAATAAAAAAAAAAAAGCTATCAATGTTGGAAAAGAAAAAGGATACAAATAAACAAAATCAGGAATGAAAGAGGGGAATATATGACTGACATCGCAGAAATACAAAGCATCATGCAAGAATACTATGAAAAAGTATATAATAAATTTAATAACCTAGAAGAAATGGACCAGTATGTAGAAAAATACAACCTTCCTAGACTGAATCAAGAAGAACTGGAAAATCTAAATAGACCGATCAGCAATATGGAAATTGAAACAATCATCAAAAACCTACCAAAAAGTAAAAGTCCAGGACAGATGGCTTCACCAGTGAATTCTATCAAACATTCAAAGAAGATTTTAATATCTATTCTCCTCAAACTCTTCCACAAAATCAAAGAGGAAACAATACTTCCCAACTCATTTTATGAGAACAATATTACCCTGATACCAAAACCTGGTAAAGATAACATCAAAAAAGAAAAGTACAAACCAATATCTCTCATGAACACAGATGCAAAATCCTAAATAAAATACTAGCAAACCAAATGCAGCAACATATTAAGCCCACCACGATCAAGTGGGCTTCATCCCAGAGGCACAGCGATGGTTCAACATACACAAATCAATCAATGTGATACACAACATAAACACATTTTTAAAAAAATCATATGATCATGTCAGTAGATGCAGAAAAAGCCTTCAACAAGATACAGCATCATATTATGATCAAAACACTTAACAAAATCGATATAGAAGGAAAGTACCTTAACATAGAAAAGACCATACATGACAAATCCTCGAACAACATTATAGTTCATGGTGAAAAACTAAAATCTTCCCTCTGAGATCAGGAATAAGGCAAGTCTGTCCACTATCGCCACTCTTATTCAATATAACATTGGAGGTCCTAGCAAGTGTAATCAGGCAGAGAAAGATATAAAAGGCATCCAAATAGGAAATGAAGAAGTCAAACTGTCACTATTTGTGGATGACATGATTCTCTATATAGAAAATCCTAAAGACTCCACAAGAACACTACTAGAAACAATAAGCAAATACAGTAAAGTCTCTGGATACAAAATCAATGTTCAAAAATCCATAGCGTTCTTATACTCTAATAATGAAGTGTCAGAAAAAGAAGTGGAAAAAATCATTCCTTTTTCAATTGCAGCAAAAAAATAATAAAGTACCTAGGAATAAATTTAAAGAAACAAGTGATGGACCTATATGAT